ACTTCCTTCGTTGATTTCTAGTTGGCGCTAATTAATTTAATTTTTTTTACTTTATAAATATAAATTCTAAAAAATAATTTAATAATTTATATAAATAATAATTAAAAATAAAAGCTAACCTCTCCTTCCATCTCTTGTTCTTCCTTCTTTCTTCCCTACTCCACCATCGGAAGCGTAACTGCTCTTTCTTCAGGATTATCGATCTCCTTCCGTAACACGCTTATTTCTCCAATTAAGCAAGAGGTAACATTTCTAGGAATTTGTAAGTAAAAATTTTTTTGTACTTCTATGTTTTTGCACTCTTAACTAGCTAGTAGTTTTCTCTTTTTCCTTTTTATTTGAGATGTGCATCTTTAATCTCACATATTATTTAAATTTTAGGTTTAAAAAAAAGTATATTTTTTTGAAAATGATTGTTTTTTTTTTTTGGAATTTTGAACATAATTATTAGTTGACCAAAAAAATATGATTGTTGCTTTTAGTTTTGAGTGAATTAAGCGATTTGATTGATTTTCATTTTTTCCTTAGATAAATGTTTATTGATCCCAACTCCAAAATTTTTAGGAGTGTTTACAAGTTTCCTAATAAGGAAGTGCACAGCTAACACAGCGGTGTATGTGTATATACATTATAGGAGGAAGCAACAGAGATCTATTATTACTCATTATGGCAGAAGGTAACAGAGAACATGTTGCACTAGATGTCCATTTAATATCGAGGTACAAAACAATGGTTTTAGGTGATTCTTTCATCTCTACAAATACTTGCATCTTCAGAGTTCCAGACAGGATCAAGATGCAAAATACACAGGCATATGAGCCCCATGTCTTTTCACTTGGTCCCTGGAAATTTGGCAAGCAACATCTCATGGAAGCACAAAAGTTCAAAATCTACTTTCTTCAAGGACTTGTTCATCGTTTCCCAAATCCAGATTCAAAGGTTCAAGAGCTAGAACAAGTTATCAAGGATGTTCAAAGCCGCGCTTGTGAATGTTATGGGGATTGGGCTGCCATCAATGTCACCAAAGAAGAATTTGAGAAAATTCTGATGCTGGATGGCTGCTTTGTCATCGAGTTGCTTCGGAAGTTAGCAGCTGAGGTACCTATGCAGGAAGGAGATTCAACACTCGTCTCTTCAAATGCCGTGTATCCAGTTCTTTTTCATGACTTGTTTTTGCTAGAAAACCAAATACCTTGGTTTGTGCTTGAACTCTTATATGACCGGACCAGTGGCAAGGGAAGCAAGCCTTTGGCTGAAATTGCTACGGAATTCTTCATTAGGTTTGCATTTTCATATGATAAATTGCAGACAGAGCCTGAGATACCATCCAGCATTGGGGTCAAACATATCCTTGATCTAGCAAGGCATTACTTGGGTTTGTCATCAGAAGTGGGAAGTAGTGTCTTTGAATTGCATAAGCATACAATTCCTTCTGCCACTAGACTCAAAGAAGCAGGGGTAAAATTCAAAAGACTTGAGTCAAGAAGAATCTTGGATGTAAGATTCAAGAATGGTGTTTTAGAAATTCCGACGTTATCGATTCACACAAATTCAGAAGCCATCTTTCCAAACCTTATCAGCTTTGAGCAATGTTGCCCTCTCTTTGCTCCTAGAGTGGCATGCTACGCACGGCTCCTAGATGGCCTTGTGGATACTTCTGATGATGTGAATATACTGATCAGAGCTGGCATCTTTAACAACAAGCTAAACCTAAAGGATGCATCTCGCTTGTTCAATGAACTGAACAATGGCAACAGCATTCCCATTTTCTATTATGCTGAACTTTGTGAGCAGGTGAATGCTTACTGCCAGAGGTGGTGGCCAAAATGGCGAGCTTTTTATATCCACAACTATTTTTCTAAGCCATGGGCCATTGTTTCTCAAGCTTTCGCCGTTGCCATCTTGGTTCTCACCTTCTTGCAGGCCTTTCATTGTAAGTAGGAAGTATGAACAACCTTTTTTTTCTAGGAGTATGAACAACCTTTTAGTGGTCAAGACAATTTAGAGTTTTAACTCCTGTGGAAAAGGAAGTTGGAAACCATGCTCGATGACTTCCTAGACATCATCCCCTTTGAGGAAGGCTTTCATTCTAATAGCCCAGAAATCATAATTCTCTCCATTGAACATTGGAGGAGAAGAAAATGAATTTGTTGAGGAAGAAGACATACTGAAATGCAGTAGAAGAAAAATATTCTCTCCCTCACTTGTCACTCGTGTTTCACTCTCTCACACCTCTCTAAGATTTCTCACAGATCCCTCAAGAACTGTAAGCTCTGATACCAATTTGATGATGTAAAGATGAAAACTCAAGTGAAAATGAGCATAAAATGAACATGAACTCAAGGATTAAACTCGGGAAATGATGAAATACATAAAACACTGCTGAAATACATGAACAATGTCTGATATATTGGCAAAAAATAGCAGCGAACATACACAAACATCAGTTTCAAAGAAAAGAAACTTATACATAACAGGTGCTGAAATGAAAAGAAGTTACAAACTGCAAAAGAAACTGTTACACCACTAAGCAAAATAAACTAATTGTAACTACCACATTAAGAGACTTGATCTCACACGCTAACAGGTCATGTATCTTCTTTGGCACCAAGTCAAGTGCCTGTAGAAGTTAGCAGTTTTAATCAGATCATGCTGCACATGCCAGTAGCATTTCTTTTTGAGTTTTGAGTGTTATAATCCTATGGCTTGCATTTGTTGTTTCCCATGAAAAATGTAATGAAACTAAGATACTTACCGTGCTACAGTTTTAATATGGAGTAAAGAAATTACTTTGATCTCACTAGTGTTTCTTAATAGAATCATGATGTTCATCGAAACATCTAAAAATTTTCAAATGAAGATTTCACGTAGCAGAACTTACATAATAATGCAACAAGTCGTCAGAACAAGTACATAGTAATAGAGTTTAGAGTCAATACCCGGTGCTTGCCTGTGAATGCCTGGCCCCTTGCTTGCTCCATCAAGAATGACGTTGGAAAGACCTAGTAGAGATAACACTAGTTCACACAAATTATTCAAAACCAATCAGGGATTATACATACATGAATAATTTGCTATTAGGTAAAATGAGAAACATCAACAGATGACAACATACCGCAGTTTTCCGTTGGGGCTCCTCTTATCAGCTGGGTACAAAAAGATACCCCCATAAAGTAATGTGCGATGGACATCAGCCACCATGCTGTCAAATCATATGGCATCATCAGAAACCACAAAAACCTTATAGAAAAGACTAGAAACCATGTTGCAACCAGAACATATAAATCTAATAGAGATAAGCACATGTTTGTTAGATTTCAGTGCCTAAAATGGAGCCATGGTAAAATATGTGGCAATTTCCATAAGCAGTTTCATACCACAAGCAGATAGAATATGCAGAAATTGGACGTAAAGGACTGTGGATAGAGACAAAGTTCTGCTCAAGAAAATTCTCTTTGATACACTTTTAGTGAATCCAAGAGTTTAAAAGCCCATCCAACTTCTAATTGTCAGGAACAAGCTAATGTATTGAGGATACTAGTTTCAGATCAATGATCATATCATTCATACAGGATATAGAAGCTTGCAGTGAAATAATGGTCCCTGCTAATCATTCTATATCATCACCAATTGAGAGTTTTGTGCTACTTTTAGTATACTAATAAAATGGAGTAAAGGTGTAAATAAGGATTCCAACTTTGCATTTTTTTTTATTTAAGGATGTTAACTTTGTCAGTTTCTAAATAAGGATGTCAACTTTCAATTTTTTTCTAAATAAGGATGTTAACTTTGTCAGTTTCTAAATA